ATGCTGTATTTCTGTGAAAGACCCACCTCACACACATGCAGAGCTGTACATGCTGTATTTCTGTGAAAGACCTGCCTCACACATGCAGAGCTGCACATGCTATATTTCTGTGAAAGACCCACCTCACACACATGCAGAGCTTGTACATGCTGTATTTCTGTGAAAGACCTGCCTCACACACACATGCAGAGCTGCACATGCTATATTTCTGTGAAAGACCCACCTCACACACATGCAGAGCTTGTACATGCTGTATTTCTGTGAAAGACCTGCCTCACACACACATGCAGAGCTGCACATGCTGTATTTCTGTGAAAGACCCACCTCACACACATGCACAGCTGTACATCTCTGTGTAAAAGAATGACAAAGAAGCTAGTTTAATACTACAATCACACATTCACAGCTGTACATCTCTGTGTAAAAGAACGACAAAGAAGCTAGTTTAATACTATAATCACACCTGGAGCACATTATCAATATGTATCTACTGTTCAATCGGAAGATATCTAAATCCAATTTGATATCATGGGCTGGATATAATAACTCCAACCTTAATCATTACTCGTCCCATTTCTAGTAACTATAAACTCATTTTGTATTATATATATATATCAGTGTGTATCTTTATACACCACTTAGAAATTTTCTTGAAAACATATTACCAAAAACCTAATATTACTTGTTAACTGTAAAAACCAAAATCTGATTTCTTGGAGAAATATGCAAACTTTATCAGTTACAATGCTGATTAGCATTAATTCCAAGTCAAGCACAAGCTTCAAACATACTGTTTTCATTTCTACAAATACAGTTATGTTTCCGCAGACAGACGTACTGTTTCTGCTTCTTCCAAACACCTTTCAATCAACCTCCATTCATCAGTGGACTGACTTGAAACTTGACAGGGTTATACCTTGGTCCATTTCTTGATGGATTGACTTGAAACTTGATAGGGTTATACTTTGGTCCATTTCTTGATGGGTCGACTTGAAACTTGGTAGGGTTAAACCTCGGTCCATATCTTGATGGATTGACTTGAAACTTGATAGGGTTAAACCTCGGTCCATATCTTGATGGATTGACTTGTAACTTGATAGGGTTATACCTTGGTCCATTTCTTGATAGGGTCGACTTGAAACTTGGTAGGTTAAACCTGG